CCCCCCCCCCCTCAAACCCCCCCTTCCCGTGCCCCAATCCGGACCAACCCCCCCCCCCTCTGCCCCCCCCTCAAATAGCCATCAACCTGCATACCCCCCCCCCCCAAATTTTGAGTCCCAGCAGAGTTATTGGGCAAAAACTGAGGCGCGGACGCCCATGCATACCTGCCCTACCAGGTACCCAGAACTGGCATGCGAGTCCACAAATTGCCCTCCTGATTTCAGCAAGCAAGAACACATCATATATTGTCACTATTTTGGGAGTTTGGATTGATATGCTGCATGTTTGCCTCCACACCCCTTGCTGCTCAAACCCTCACGCACTTGGCACTGACTCACAGCCATACACACTGACCCACCCTTTTACTCAATGTGCACAAAAAGGGTGGCAATCGACAGGACTCGAGCTCAGGAGTCCAACGAAATATTTAGAATTCTGTAGAAGTGGCTCAGTAAAATTCTGGAGGGGGGGTCCCAAAAACTCGAAACCCCCCTTCCCCCCCCTCCCTCGGACCCCCTCCGATTGGACCCATATATATACCAATCGATAGATCTTGAGCTCAGGATTCCAAATATATAGTTTTTAAATGGATTGACACGTGCCATCCAAAAGTTACACAAACTCTACCCTCCTGCGTTGCAGATAAAAATTTAAAAGGCTGCATATTCAGATTTTGCCAGGTTGCATGGGGATTTGATGTCAGCCAGTTTGGCGAAATGTTCCCATGCTGTCTTGGGAAGGCACAAGAAGATACAAAAAAATTGCAATGTTAGACCACAGGAGCTCTGTAACAACCGGAGGACTTCGCCTGAACGAAATAGCCGGTTAGTCTGACACAGCTTTGTAGCAGCTCTGCAGTATATGCTGGTAGCACCGTGTGGGATCACCGTGTGCCCTGCGCAAGGCAATGAAAGTGCTGCCCGGATGCCTAAGTTGCTGTGTTTGTTGGGTGCCTGGAAAGATGGGAATGCTGATGGAGTTTTGTAACTCCTACTCACCATGGCATCAAAGCCTTCATGTTTTATATGCTGACGCATGACTTGCAGCATATGCTACACTTTTCAGGATGCAAAGGGATACTGGAAACGGGGTGGTTCAGGAGGGGTGCAGGCCCCCCTGACTTTGTCCTTCAAGTTTGGCGTCCAGGAAACTTGCATGCCCTTGACCTCCTTGCGTGCAGGTGCATCTACTTAAATAAATAGTAGAATGCCAATCCGAAGGTAGAGGTAGGTCCGGAGCATTCCCATTTTTATCGCAGGTACAGAATTACCACGACATTTCATCCGGCCTCATTTTTGGCACCCTCGTCGCAAGCCGAGGAAGACGTTTAACGAGGAGGAGGTCCCCGGATCGACTCCTTTTGTCCTGGACAGAATTCGGTACCTTCTCTGGGTTCGTCCTGTCGGTGAGACTGTGCAAGCTTTTTTGGCGTAGCCCCATTCATGGGGCGTGAGCCCCTAGGTTTGCCGGCTTCCAGTAAAGTTCACACCTGGGCACTCTGGCCCGCCCAGCGCACCCCCCGCCTCCAAATTTGATGTGCAGGCCGAGAAAAAAGTTTTATCAAAACATACGGGGTTGTTTGGCTGGGCGGTGCAGCGAGTAATACCATCGGAACTAGGGTCAGCCTCGGAGGAAGCTGAACTCAACGCAGGTGTCTCATTGCTCAATCGCTCACGTTCCGAACGGCGTTGAGTTAGTATTTGTACAGACACGAAGCAGGTGTGTCGCTGGCTTCCTAGCATTTGTTGACCAGTGATGTACTTCGTGACATGGGAAGGTGCTCCCACAGTTGTTCGCTCATGCGATGTGGAGCAGGACCAGCAACCCTGCCCGGGGGCTGTGGACGAAAGGGCCTCTGGAGCACAGCCTGCTGTTGACTGTTTAAGGGGGGGTGCAGGTGTGCAAGGCCTTGATTGCCTATGCAAGAACGGCAAGCACCCTCAACTGTGCATGCCTGCATGAACAAGGCATGTACGACGGCAGGAAGTTATACTGAGGACTTGTGTCTCTGGTGTGCATGGCCTGCCTGGTCCAGGTCCAGGAATGGTGGGCAAAACAGGGTCACACTGCGTAGCTCACAAGCACAGCATGTAGCTATGCCCACAGCCATGCTTGCATTAACCCATGCAGCAATGCAGATTGCCATGCACACGGTGATCCATGCAATGATGGGTGCGGTAATGCGCGCAGCAACGCGCAAAACCATGCAGGAATGTATGCTGCAATGCTCGTTGTTGGTAAAGCAGTCAAACTTGCACATGAATCATGGCAATTCCAAGTCCTGTTACAAGTGTTGTGTCTCTTGCAAGCAGGGTTGCACACTACGGTGCTGCGGTCAGGAATTCGTAGAGTAGCGTAGCCGTAGCGTTGCAGTGGCTACGGCTACTGCTACGAAATCGTGCCTGAGCCATCGACGAGCCGCGCCCGTCCTAGTGTTAGCACGAAGGCAGTTAATGGCAATCTATATTAATTTCTAAATGTATAATATATTATATTCATATAATTTATGTTGTCAAACCTGTGAGGGAGCGCGAAAGAACAAGGAATGGACATGCGTGGGCCACGGCAAATGGGTATGTGCAGGGGAGGAAACTCAAAACAAATATCCTCAGGTCAAAGGACGTGGACATCAAGCATATTTTTGACAGAGGAGTGCTGCAAAGCAACTGCCCATGCGTACACACACGCATGCATGAAGGACGAAGTGTACAACTGCATGCACTTGAAGCGTGAAGCCACCTGTGCAGCTCCTAGATGTATTATGATGAAGCACTCAGCAAGCCCTTGAGGGCAAACACAAGAAACTGCTTTGTGTGCCATACAGCAACAATTTTGCAGGTGCAGTTTTGGCTTCTGCTACTGCTACAGTTTAGGACTCCGTAGCCGTAGCGTAGGGTAGCCGTAGCGTAGCAGTAGCGTGCAACCCTGCTTGCAAGTCAAAAGAGTTGTGATTAACATCATTAGTCAGTGAGAGACTGGCTTCGCCAAATTTTCAGCGTCGCTTGCGACACACAGCGACGCTCCCCACACTTGTCCTCTATGCACGTGGCCTAAAAGGCAAGCGCAAATCTCTCTTTTTTTCTTTGCATGCAGGTCCGTCCATACCAGGTCTAGCAGGTACGGTGGTGTCATGCACGAAAGTTCCTTTTCATTGAATTTAACTTTATATATATTTAATGAATTTCAATGCTGACAGGGCAGAGTTGGCCGAGTGGTTAAGGCGCTGCACTCAAGTAGGACTTCCCGGAACTACTCGGGTGAATTGCAGTCCCGCATGGGTCGTGGGTTCGAATCCCACACTCTGCATTTTTTCATATACCCTATGAAATCCCGGTTGTTTATGTCTGAGGTTGGCTTTTTGTTTTTGTTTTTGGGGTTGGCAATATGACATTTTTGCGTTTGGGGTTCGCATAATGGCAATTCAGCTTATTGCTACTTTTGCTTTGTCAGTTCTTCCCTTTT